CGACCCATCTCTTTTTAGGTCGGCCCACACTTCTTGTTTTTCCCCTAGGTCTCCATAAAATCCAAAATAGGGGCCATCGATCTGGATCCTGTCTTGCCACATGTTCGATCCATTGCCACTTCAGACTTGCCACTCTTTTAACAACATCTATTAGTTTTTTTTGGCGTATGTGGGTGTTCCGCATTTTTTCCTTCATGGTGACTCCTAACATGATTCTTTCCATGGCATTTTGTGCAACTCGGAGTTCTTCTGCTTTTTCGGGTAATTGCCATAGTCTCTAAGCTATACGTAAAGCACAGGTAGGATATGGTAGGATTTTTCTTTAGGTTGATGGGCACCTGTTTATCCTTGAAAATATCGCTTATATTTCCAAATGCTACCCATGCCAAATGGATCCTGCGTTTGATCTCCTTATTTTGGTTTGAATAAAAAGTGTTTTAGTGTATTGTGGTGATTTAATGTTTTTATTTTGCTGTGTAACACCAAAAGTTCCAACCCTCAACTGTAATCTCTTTATTTAGCTTGATTTTATGACCTAAATATATATCATTTTTTATTTTATTTAATTTTTTCTTGGCTTTAGTAGCCAACACTGATCTGAACTGAGTTTACAACACTGATCAGTGTTGTAAAATCCATTCAATGTGTATGTCTCTTTGCAAAAATTGTGACGACTGTATCGATATGTTTATGTTATGTGTGTGGATACCAATGTTGGATATTGGATTATTTTCTTCGCTAAGATTTCAGAATGAAAATGATAAAATTGTAAAAAGAAATCAATAAAAATTAAAATAAAAACTAAAACAAAACGGCCGAAATCTACGTTCAAGTAACAAATTTTGATAAAGACCCTACCAGGTCGAAACGTCAATGAAATTTTTAATATAAAAAACCGTTTTTCTCATTTTTACCTGACCTAAAGCCAAGAAAAAATAAAATAAAATATATATTGAGAGGTCAAAGAAAATAATAAAAAAAAATATATAATGTGTGTGTGGTCTACGTTTTCAATAACAACAACGTTGTCTACAGTAATGTTATTGCTATTGTTGCTCATTATCTTGGTCTTCTTCAAGTTCATTTTAAGACCAATTTTCTGGGATTGGTTATTTAGCTCCTTTAGCATGGTGTTCAGTTCCTAAATGTCGGTGCTCAGCAAGAGAATATCATCTGCGAACCTAAGATAGCTAAGACTAAACGTTCTCTAACTCAGTGTGAGTACATATTATCAAAGCAAACCTTTGCAGGAGGGTAAAAGTGTGAGTTATTGTGAGTTATTGTCCTTTTACCCTCCTTCAAAAGTTTGTTTTGATAAGAAAGCTAAGGTTTACCCCATCGATGTTTAGACCTCTATTTTCCCATTCTAATTTCTTAAAGGTAGTTTCCAGTGCCAGTGTAAATAACTTGGGAGAGATGGTATCTCCTTGTCTCACGCCCTTGCGTGACTATTTTAGAACAAGCATTTTTTTTTATGAACAATGCATTTTTCTCAAAATGTCAATAATAAAAAAGTTGTTCCTTTTGTAAAGACAATCCGAGGACATACTGTAGATAAAAAAGAGTTCTACATTAGTTCTGGATTATTTTTACAAGAGGAGTTTTTTTATTATAGACATTTTGAGAAAGACGCATACTTCATAAAAAAGCGATTCTAGAATGGTTAATCCCGTTTATACTTTTTTAAATTTCCATACCGTTTTAAAGAAAATTAAAAAAAACATGAAAATACACTTGAAAGTTTGAAGTCTTAAAAATCAAAACGTTTTCTGTGGTAATATAATTTCTTTTTTCATTCTTTAATAGATTGTTGTCGATAGAATTTTAATTAACGTTATATTTTTTGTTGTTTTAAAATGTTAAAAGAATCATACAATTTATTTCGTTCAATGCCACGGAAAGGGTGGCTACAACAGCAAAAAGATGACGTTTATCACCATTAATAATACCCATCTATCAAAGAATGAAATCGAAATGATATTACCATAGAGACTTCTTTTGATTTTTAGGACTTTGAAAAAATTTAAATCTATTTTTATGTTTTGTTAATTTTCTCTAAAACGGTATGGAAGGTATGGAAATTTGGAAAAGTAAAGATGTTTTTAATCAATTTAGAATAAGCAAAAATATTTATAAAGAATGCATTTTTATCATAATGTCAATAATAAAAAAGTTTTTCCTCTTATAAAGACAATCGGGGACATACTTTATACTTGCTCATTTTTTCAAATATTCTTTAAGTTTTCTGGGTCTAATAATAATAAGGAATTTTTAATTAATTTAAAACGGCTTATTTTTCCATCGAGTTTATGGGTATATTATATTTCCGAGAAAAGCAATAACTGGCATAAATACCACCGACATCCTAATATAAACATGTTTATTACTGGGACGTCACCAAAATGTCAGGAAAATTTGTAATAAAATTAAAATTATAGCCGAATTAATTAGAACTGATTTTTTCAACAATAACATAAAAACAACTTTCCTTATTTAACGCACAATTTATTCAATTAAATTCCTAACAATATTGACATTGCAACACAAAAATCTACATATTTAACACGTCGTTTTATTTATATTACTTTGCAGCCCATAACGCAGCATTAATGTTTATTCTGGTGTTTATGCATAAAATAACTATTTTTTTGCATAATTTAACAGTTCCTATTTAACACCTCATTATAAATTTTGATAGTATCTTGTTCATGAAATATTACAACATTTTATAAAATTTTGTAAATACGTTATTATAGAAGGAACTTGCAAAGGTGCTATAATTCATTTTTTTAAATTGAGTAGCTTAATTTTAAAATTTGACATGGGAATTAGATACCTGGTACAAAAATATTCCAAAAATTATTTAAATACATATTTTAATAATATTTAAATAATGTGATTTTTATGATGGAGAAGAGTATACAAAAACAGAATTTATAAAATAATTTAAGTCTAAATTATTATTAGCTTATAATTCATTAACTTATGATTATTTTTGATAGTTACTGATATCATTTAAAAATATACCGATTTACCAATCCGCAAAATGTATGAAAAATACAAACTACCTACTTAAGTCAAAAATATAATTTTTTTTAAATATGTTTTTATTAAATAATATTTGTCATATTTCATATTTACATTTTTCGTTTTTCATATTTACATAAAATGAATAGCAAACTTTGGTTTTAAATTATTTTCATTTGAATTAGTTTTAATCTATATAAATAAAAAGTACATTTTGTAGGATTTCATAAAATTTAGCGAGGGATTTTATAAATTCAAGTGATTTTTTTATAAAGTCATCGAGGTAATTATTTAGTTTCCACGTTTACTCTAAAATTTAATTGAATATTACAGGTTATACAGGGTGCACCTCAAAAGTGGCTCACATCTATTACTTTTTATTTTTTTCAGATAAAAAAACGAGAATTGTTATATTAGTATATCACATAAATTAGGATTGATTGACGTATTCAATTATCTTTGGTGCGTATAATGAAAAAAATTGCATTCAGTTGGCTTGGAATTCACGATCGATGAGATTGCTTATTTTTAATTTTACATTCAAAATAACAGCGATCTTCATTTCCAAAATAACTTCGTTTTTTAGATCGTATATGGTACTTACAATATAAGACAGACGCTTTGTCAAAAAAGTAATCAGAATATTGCTGTAGATATTAATAATTAAATAATCAATTATAATCAAAATGTTGTTTATTATACAACAGCCCTGTGCTAATATAATATAGAATATAGACTATCCAACGCGTTTTACATTGACCTATTGGTTATGTGAACGTACGAAAAACCTGCTTAGATTTAGAACGCAAAAAGCTAGAAGCTGTTTTTTGCTTCTATTTATTTTAATTTCAAATTTTTACGCCTCCCCTTGAAACTAATTTGTATAAGCAGCACAATGAACAATAGCCTTTTTTTGTATAAATATTTGTGTCTAACATGTATAGTATTTTTTAGCTTGATTGGAATGCAACGTTGCTAAAAGGTATTCATTTTTCAAAGCACAATTCAGTGGAGTTGCATTGATATTTTATTTACGTCTAAAAATGTAAGCAAATAATTTTTAGATTATTTTAAATTTTAAATTATTATCAATATTATACTATGCTACAACTGGAAGACTGTGGCCAGTGGTAGATTGCAAAAAGACTAAACAACTACTAGAGCACAAAAAGAACCTAGTACGCATAATTAAAGGTGTCATCACTGGAAATTGCCCCATGGGAGTAATCCTCGTGAGATAGAAGATTTCCAACGACGACTACTGCAGAGAATGCGATGAGGAAGAAGAAATCATAGAGCACCTGCTGTGCTAGTGTCCGGCACTGGAATACAGATGCTTTAAAACTTTAGGACAAGGTTTTTTGGAGGGATTAGACGAAGCAGCAGAAGCCAACATAAGTGACATAGGAAACTTTGCAAAGAGATGGAAGTGCTTTAACGCAAAGAAAGAATGAGAGGGAGGTTTGGTTCAATAATATAGGAGTACCGCAATGGGCCCAAGGCCTCCGAGTGAGGGATCACACATGATCCCAAACCCCAGCAACATAACCTAACCTGTCAGTATTGTAAACACCTTAAACTAATATTGCCACAGACTACTCATTCCAAAACCAGTGGATATGCCTACAGTCAGAGCACCAGTTTCGATAGTTTTTATATAAAAGAGCTTCAATGGATCTCACAGAATTTGCTGCAGATATGCAGAGGTGCAAATGATAAGTCTGTTAGCTGTCTAATTAAATGGTTGTAGTTTAGAAGGCGATTTATTTTGTACAGCAATTGGTTTTTAAGCACTTGTAGCATCCAACAGATAATAATAACTATTGACTATTCATTTTTTATTAAAATAATACAAGACTTGGCCGAAAATGACCAAGATTTAATTATGAGATAAAATTTCTCATGCTTTTGTACTTTTAACTTTACTTTATTATTATATACTTATTTATATATATTACTCTTTTTTGTTTCAGAATGGTTACGTTGAGTGCAACAACAACTGTCCTAAAATAGATGAATGTCAAATGATTGTAGATGGTAACGCTTGCTGTAAAATTTGCAAAGGTGAGTTAGTTTTTTTCAAAAAAATATTAAAATTTTGCTATTATTATAAGGAATAGTATAGAACTAACATACATTTTTAACATATTTCACTACTTACTAATCAAATTAATGTGGTTATATGTAAAACACTTAATGTAATAGCTAGTTTTGATTTTAGTGTCTAAAATCTTCAAAATCGCAATATAGACGGAATGTATTTAATATGTATTAAATTTTCTAGGTTGTAGTTTCAATGGGACTTATTATGACAGCCACACAGAATGGACAGATCCATCTGATCCTTGTACAGTGAAGAGATGCGAGGGTGGTATCCTTACCATTTCGAAGTTGCATTGTCACACGCCTTGTGCGAATCCTTTGCCACCGGAGCCGGGAAAATGTTGTCCGACGTGTTCAGGTAGGTATTGTTAGAAACTTTATATTAAACATAGAGAAGATATAGAATTTATGGCCTAAAAGGTCCGCAAGATATAGTACATAAGAAATCAATGTTTGTTTATTGGACTACACATTAGTCATAGCGTTGAGCTGCATGTATTTATATTAGATCTGTGATAAATAATAAAAGCAACCTTTAAGCGAATAACCTTTAGCCGTTAACTAGAGAATTTAAACCTGCTGGTTATCACATACACATTCAGTACAGATTTTTTGAGTATCGGATACATTCTGCCCTACACACATCCGTAATGAGCCTTTCTTCATTACTTTGGTGGATATGATGGACCGTTGTTTGTATTTTTACATAATTTTCTAATTCCTTATCGCCCAACTTATCGTATTGTAACACGCATTGGATTACATTCATTAGTACAATACCATGTATTTTTATTAATTGTTATCACAATTCTAGTGTACCTTATGTTTGTTTATTGAATTTAATGCAAATTTTTTTAAAAATTTAGACTTAATTAGAATTTTCTCCGTTTATCTCTTCAACTTCAAGTTTATCTTTTAAGTCGTAACATTTTCGCTAAATCTCATACTGCCGTCATTTTAATCTAGAATGTCCTATGCCCACACTTCAAGTCTTGTGACATTGCATAGTATTCCGAAGCTGCTCATAAGATCTACCAACTTTAGAAAAGCATCGGAAATAATATTACTTCCGGTACATAATGAGTGTTCGGAAACCTCGATGGCATATTTATAACAGTCTTACCTTGATATAGCACTTGACAAAATCATCAACTGTCTTAGAAACTTTTTTGTCACATCGCCTAGACCTAGTTGCCTACTATGTCTGACGATTGCTGAGCATTTATTAAAAAAAATCAACATACGTGCGTTATTTTTAAAAGTTAATGTTGCTTGATTTTAAAAAACTGTGACTACTTAAATTTTTTAAAAAAAATATCAAACATTATAGACTGTCAAATGTTCATACCAATATTCCACTAACAAAACTGTAAAAAAATCATTTTTTTTAAATGAAAACATTGTTTTTTCGCATGATGGCGTTTTGGCAGAGTTCTTTTTTATAAGAATTGTTTTCCTATATTTTCTTAGAAAGAGGAAAAACAAACAAGGAAAGACGAATTTTTATTATTGATAATTTGAGAATAATGCATTCTTCATAAAAAAAATTGCTTGTTTTAAAATAGTTAATCCCGTTTATACTTTTTCAAATTTCCATACCGTTTAGAGAATTACCATTATAGAGAGAATTAAAAAAAACAGATAAATGTAGTTGTGAAGTCCTAAAAATTAAAAGGCGTTTTTATGGTAATATCATTTCGATTTCATTCTTTGATAGATGTTGTAATTAATTTTGATAAACGTGCTATTTTTTGATGTTGTTAAAATATCACATTTTCTGATAACTTTTACCACTCTTTCCGAAGCACTGAATTAAATAAATTTTGAGCTTCTTTAACATTACAAAATAGCAAAAAATATGGGGTTAATTAAAATTCTGTTAATAATAATCTACCAAAGAATGAAAACGAAATTATATTACCATAGAAACGCGTAGGACTTTTTAATATTTTTTAGACTTGTTTTTTTAATTTTCTTGAAAACGGTATGGATATTTGGAAAAGTATAAACAGAATTTAGCATTTTAGAACAAGCAAAAATTTTTATGAAGAATACTTTTTTTTTCTCTATTAATAATTTTTCTCCAAATGTCAAAAATAAAAAGCTTTTCCTCTTGTAAAGACAATCCGGGGACATACGTGCGCTCGACAATATTCATTCCGATATAAATTGTCGCTCTATTTATAATTGATTAGAGACGCGTTCCTATATATATGTAGTCCTTTCACCCTCTATATATACTTCACTAAAATCCATTTAATGGACTGGTGTTATCATCATTTGAGCTGAAATACTGACTGCTCCAATATTTACACTGTTATTCAAACTTTATAAACCGGTAATAAAAGTCAAACAGCCAATATCATCTATTTAAAATTCTAATTATACGCTTATTGTTTGCGAATGGTTCGACATCCTAATAAAACTAATTTGATAACCGAAAGCTTCCAACAGCTTGAATTGTTCGTGCCAAAGAGAATTCCGATGGGGTTATTTAACTCATTAATTTTTGTTTGCTCATTTTATATAAATGAAGGACACTCGCGTCCGTATAAGAGTCTAGCATGCAACATTTACATTCAACAAATTCTTTTGCAGATAAAGACTACACGAATTTTTGAGCATAATCCAATCTTTTATTCATTAGAAATTTTGAATATATATAAGTTCGTTTTTTTGTACCCCTTTTTGTTTTTCTTTTGGGTTTGACCTTTTGCATTAATACACTGGTACATATTATAGCATTAATACACTGGTAAGTATTATACAGATTTGGCACTTTGAATGTCCGTTGACTTTATTTATTTTGCTTATACAACGTTTCGGTCACAAGTATCACCGACCGTTATCAGGTGTGAACTAATCTGAATCCTAAAACTACTGAGCTAATATACTAGAGCCGAGCATTCACCCTTCAATTAGTTGGGTGCAGTAAAGCATGAGGTTGTCCACTAAGAATACCAAACGTTTTATGAGTGGTTGCCATATTGTTGAAATTTCCATACTTGGATTGCTAAAGATTTTATTATTATCAGATACGAATACGGCTTCTTTAAATTTGCGCTTTTTTCCAATGGGGTTCTTTGTGGAAAACCCGAGCTTCCGACAGTTTTATTTTGTGGTGCTTGTACCACACATGATCTACAATGCCCGATTTCATTGTCTCATCTCTGTGCGTATATTTTTTATGTTCATCAAGTCGTACATATAGAGGAAGTTGTCTCTCCAATATACGACTCGCCGCACTCACCAGGTACGTGGTAGATGCACTTTTTTTATTGGTTTGATGATTTTGGTTTTGTTTTTGTTAGGTTTGGAGAGCATTCTCCTCGGGCTGGCGTACCAATGAGTCAGGCTTGCAAAATAAAAAAGTAAAATAAAGAAAATGAGGTGCCCGGTGGCGTAGAGGTACAGGTTCTCAGCCGACTATTTTTATGAAAATAAAAATAGTTTGGGTATCTAGGTCGACTCAGCCTTAAATGAGTACTTGGGATTCACAATCCTGAGGTAATAATAGGCGGTTGAAGCGTAGAGTGCTAGCCACATTATCTTCCTTGTATACCGAACGGCTCTAGTATAGCAAGCTGTACCTTGCTACTCCCAAGGCGTTAAACGCTATATACGGGAGCTATTATTATTATTATAAAGAAAATGGAAGTCCGAAATTCTTTTATTTTCGATGTGGCACTTATTTCATCCTGCTGAAAAACGTCGCCGTGACCTCGAACCTTTGATAGGGCTATGGCATTGTCAGATTTCGTTTTTTTTTTGTGGAATGCATTGTGGACTTTTGTAAAAAACATATTCTCAATGGAAACAATACCTACTTAAACTGTGGCACTTCTTATTTGTAACTATTTACATACGCATGCGCTTCGCATTCGGTCCCTTTAAATATTCTATTTATGCATGCTTATTATGTTTCTACAGTCTGCAAATTATGTTTCTCCATTTTACTGATAAATCTGTGTTAATCTGTGACACCGGCATGAAAACGGACACCTAAAACTTTAAATGTTAATATTTTTTGTTCTAGTGGGCCATTATTTTTTAGCCTATTTTTTAAGCCTTCATCTGTCTATTATACGAGGGATAACAAAATTATATTTTAAGTTTGAAACACCCTGTCAAACGATATAACAAATTACGAAATTTAAAAACCACTTTCCCATCAAGGTGCATCTTTGCTCCATAATTTGTTCTTTAGTTCATCTCGATAGCTTTTTTTATTGGAGATATTCGATTCTGAACGATTTACACCATCAAAATCTTTTTGTCCTATCAACACAGTCAAATAGTATTTATTTGCCGTTACTCTAGCAGATATGGCTTTAAGTTCAGAAGTTCTACCATGTTCAAGTATAGCTACTATAGTCGATACACTTCCAAATTCTATGCCAACAAACAATAACAATATTACTTTTCAATGACAGCGACATTACAAAAACCATAAACACTATTTCATCTAGGTATGCTGATAATAATTCAAAAGTAAAAGCATATTTTTAATGCAAAAATTGCTGTTAATCGTTACTGTCTTATTCAAAAACGAATATCTCCAGTAAAAAAAGCTTAATAAAAAACTGTTGCTCTAGCGGCCAATTTTCGAACTTCAAAATAATTTACACTACTGTTTCTTGGATCTATATTTTTTCTACCTACTAAGTTTTATCATTAATAATTTCTACGCTATAGCTAACGTTCTTCGTTATTGGACTACTATGTACAAAAGCAAGCTGAAGGCTTTAGTGTAGGCACATATTGTATTTTAAAAAAAATTACGTTTAAAGAAAATTGAAAATAGTTTTAATTTCCAGAATGTCGAATAAATGGGCAAAAGGCGGCAGAGGATAGAGACGTCATACCTGACGACGATCCATGTTTAAAATGTCGTTGTAACAGTGGAAAATTAATATGTACAAAGAAAGCTTGCCCCGTACTTCAGTGCCATCCTCGTTATCAATATCATTCGCCAGGTAATTATCATAGATATAGGTATATTTTTTGTAGTAAAATAAATTCTGGAAAAAGATCATTTTAGTCACAGTGCTATAATTTTTTAAATAATTTTTCAATTTTGGTAAAGGTTATCCTCAAATTTACTTCTGAAAACTTACTCATTCCTTGATTACATGTGGAAGAGAAAATTACATTTTACCCTTATAAACTTGAGAGATTCCTTGTTGAACAACTGAGCGGTCATACAAAACTTTATTAAGTTTGAGTTTCAAGTGTTATTTTTCCTTTATACAATGTTTTTTTATATGTCAATATATGTTTTTTGAAAAACAAATTTTATAGAAAGTGTTGCGTTACTACAGTCTTGTTAACCAATAAAAAACGCTACATTCTTGGTAATAGCCTAAAGAAATATCCAAAAATTAAGCACGTGTTGTTTTCTCGCGCAAAATTTGCAATATTTTAGACTACTTAGATCAGATTGGATTCTTCGAGGTGGCTATCAGTCTGATCCATTACGATCTTTTTAGATCTAGTGGTCTTCGTCTGCTTCTCTTAGTACGGGATCATTCGTCTAGCAATTTGGAATCCTCCACTGAACCCTCCATATAGCTCTCTTTCAATGGTCTATTATTGCCTATTACGGAGAATCGCACATTTGTCAGGCTTGGCTCATCGACATAAAATATGTTCTGTCGTTTCTTCATTCCACATTCAGATTGACAGAACCTGCACATGGCTTCGTTCGTTATTCCCATTAGCTTTAGATGTCTATTCAGCTTATAATGCCCTGTTAGTAGACCCACTACAAGTACGACTGTCTTTCTGTCTTTGCTTATCAGGTCTGCCGTTAATTTTGTTCTACTATAACCTTTTTCGCCTGTCTCTGCCCTGGTGAATTTGTCCATCATTCTAGAGATTTGTTGCCACTCATCGTTCTCTGGCCATTCTCCTGACTCCTTTTTCGACGCCGCAGAAGGATTCTAGGTCTATGAATGGCATTGATGAGCCTTGTTTGGCCATTTCATCTGCATTTTCGTTACCCTTTTGACATTCGTGTCCTGGTACTCAGGCTAACATAACATTGCTATGCATACCCAACGAATTTAAAGCACACACACACACACAATCCCAGACTAATCTAGAATTGACCTCCGCGAAATCGAGTGCCTTTAGCGCTGCTTGGTTGTCTTTGAAGATGGTCACCGGACGATGTGTTCTTTGCTGCCTTATTATTTCTTCTACACAATAGTGGATTGTATATCAGACTACTTGGTGGCTACTTCAGTCGCTGGATGTTTACTTCTGAGGTATGTTCTGTTTCAACGTGGAGCTTGGCATTATTTTACACTAAAATATTTTTTTGAATTATGCAACATTTTTTATCAATCCATGTCTTCTGTAGAGCAAAGGTCACACTTTAAACCAATACCTAATGAAACTATATTTTATCATCTTGTTTTTATATTATACAATTATTAGTCAATAAAGTCTGTAAAACTGTAAAAAGTTTTACCAATATCAAAGAACAATTTTAGAGACATACCAATCTGACTAAAATTATTTTTTTTCCAAATGTATTGCAAAGGATTGTTTTAAAAAAGATTCATAATAACAAAGGGTTAATAATAAATCTATTTTAGGAGAATGCTGTCCCAAATGTAACGGCACTAGATCTTATATGGAAATACAGGACAGATGTCTTATCCAGAATAATGTAATAAGGGAAACCGAAAGGATCACATTGGATAGATGTACCGACTGTGAATGTCTTAACACTACTAACGTCTGTCGTCGAATATCCTGTCCAATTTTGGATTGCGCGCCAGAAGAACAGAAACTTTTTTCAACGCAGTGCTGCCCAATGTGCATTAAGTTGGCAAACGATACGATTGTCTCCAAGTGTCATTATCGGGGGAAAGACTATGAGGCAAGTACTTAGTCTATTGTCGATAATATTCTTCCTATGATCTAATATAATTATGCAGGGATAACTAAAAAATACCATATAGCATCATGTTTTTATTGTTCATTTTATCTTTTATATTATATTATTGTTAGACTCTGAATGTGACTATTATACAGGTTGTCTCAGAAATAAGTGCAAGTAGTTTAAGGGGTGGTAGGTCTGGACAAAAGAAACTCTACTATTTTTAAAATGAATTGATAATAACCGAGTTATTTAACTTTATAAAACGAAAATTTTAAAAAATAAAGGCAACATTTTGACAACCGCTGGCTACAATTGGTTTTCAGCTGCAATTTACCTGGATCTCTGCTTCTTCTTTCCACACTAGTGATGTAAACTTTAGTTACTTTTATGGACTCGTAACTACTAGTTACTTTTGGTAATAGGACTCGTTACTTTAGTTACTTTAGTTGCTCGTTACTTTGGTACTTAGTATCGTTACTTTATAATCGTTGTTTTCTGTACAGGTGTTGGAAGACTTGGGCTTGACGTGGAACTTCGTTACTTATTGTGAGCGGCGATCTTCGTTGCGTGCTCGGTTTAACCTATAAGGGGTTTCTACTTTCTTCTAGTGCAAGGGCTTAATACGATAATTTTAATACTCGGTATTCAAGTACTGAATAATATGTTTTTAATCATATATATAATCTTTTTATAATGATATGGTAAATAAAACTATGTACTATTAATAAAATTAAAAATAAAAGAAAACAAATCAAATAAAGAAAATATGTTTATAATAAATATAAAGTATTTTTTTTTATTTTTCTCTCTCTCTCTCTCTTTGTATTACATTAATAAATAGGCAAACATTAAAGGGTAAAAATAAAAAAATGTATATATTTTTGTTAAAATGTAAAAATATTAAAAAATGTATATTCCTCTGTGGCGGATTCATCTCTTCAAAGAAGTCCTTTGGATTAACGCCAGCAGTGTTTACTAAAAATTACTATTGTTATTTTGTAGATTTTCTTACAGTGTAAGTGGCGAAATATCTATTCTCTTTGAAGAAGAAAAATATTTGCTCTGCTTTTTCAGATGTTAACATTTTTTGTGACTAACGTGAATCAATTTTTAATTAATATCTAAGCCATGTTAATCGAAATAAACAATTCTATTCTATAAATAAAAAGCGACAACAAACGGCAAAGGGAGAGACCGCCGCCGGGTCGGCATGAGCCAATCATAATAATTGTAATAAAAATATCACACATTTTCCATCCAAAACACCGGCCGGCGTCAAGTCAACACTTTAAACATAAACATATTGATAACAACTAGACCTACGTCGAAGTAAGGAATATTTCAGTATCGAGTTTCGAGTCCTCGGTTCGTGCATTTCCAGGAATTACGATTACTGCCGGCGCAAAAGTAACGAATTAGCTTAGTAACGAGTAACGAGTCCTAAGTTCAAATAGTAAACGTTATTTCGAGTCCTCGTAAAATAACTGTTACTTTGTAACGATTACTTAGAATTTTTACATCACTATTCCACACCACACATCACCAAAGGGGTTAGTAGAGGTTCATTATTTTTTTAAGAGCATATTCGACAGTGCCGCAAGTAAATTGAATATTAGAAGAAAAACACTTACCTAGCATTAAAATAGTGGTGCCAAAACTCCTATGGCAAGCTGATGTAACGCTTAGTCACATGAAATGAATACATTTACGAGTTTTGGTTCTTCTTTTGTTAAAAATCAACTCAACTCTAAAAAAGGTATTTAAAAAAGTGGAAGTTTCTTTAGAATTAGTAGCTACCTAAACTGATATAAATAAAGTTATTTTGCGTATTTTTTATGTATATTCTTCTAATTACATATACAGTATTAATTTATACAGTGAGTAACGTAGGAGATGACAACATTGCATTAGGAGGTGGCAATATTGCATCCTCTACATGCATTTTAAACAAATTTCAGGAGAATGAACAGTGGTACTCAAAAGTTTTTCAACGTTTTCCGGAAATGTCAAGAAAAAATAGAAAATTGCAACATTTTTCTTCGCAAAAAACCTCATGGGTGTGTTTCTGGGATCGAACTAATAGTTAAAATACTTGCAGTTATTTGTGAGACATTTTTTTTAAAGAAATGGCACAGTACCTATTTAGTTAAGTTATTAGTATTTTTTATTTACATATTAATATAACCAGATTGTGTTAGGTAGGATGGCGAGGAATGGCCTTTGGATATTTGCAGCTCTTGTAAATGCTACGATGGAAAAATCAGTTGTGCCAGAACTAGATGCAACACTACATGTGCGGCGGGTTTGAAGAAAATAAAACATCCACTCGAATGTTGTCCTAAATGCGTTGAAGGTAATTTAATTTTATACTTAATTTCCTCCGACTCTAAGATACATACTTAGAGTATTATATCGTATTATCAATAAGTTTTAATGAACAGAAAAAATATCATAGAAATTATTAAAATTTTTCATAAAATAACAAATAATTAGTCTATTTTTTAAATGGACACAATTTTACACTGTTTCCTTGCCAGTTTTATGATTATAACTTATGAAATATATTTTATACTATACCGGGTGCGTCTCAAAATTGGCTCACCCCTATAACTTTTTTATTTCTTCAGACGAAAAAACGAGATTTGGTAGTTTAGTATATGACATAAATTAGGATTGATTGACGTATTCAATTGTTTTTGGTCACTTCCTGTTTCACCGGAAATGACTACAACTTTTCATTTTTAAATGGCACCCTCGATGTTTTTTTTACTTTATTCGATAGAAAATTACATTCTGAATATAATGACATATCATATGTCAACTTTTGACATTTTCGCTTAAAACGAAATTGAATTTTAAATTTCAATTTAGAGTGCCATGGATATGTTAAAAACACTAATTCTTAATCAAGGAGCCTTGGAAAATAGATTTGATCATCTAATGTTTTTAGTGCCTTGTCCTAGCCAGTTAGAAAAGGCTCAAATCGTATTTTTAATCATATCTCAATTTTTTTAAATGGAACGAGGGTGGCTCATTAGCATATTTGGAAAAAGCATTTTTTACGAATAATTTGATACCACACACTTGGTATTTCGAGTCAAATTTTAATTTGAAAAATTACAAACCGCAAGTTATAATTTCAAATACACAATATGCCAAAATGTCAAAAGTTTACATATGATATGTCATTCTATTCAGAGTGTCATTTTCTTTCGAATAAAGTAAAAAAATACCGAGAGTGCCATTTAAAAATCAAAAGTTGTAGTCATTTCCGGTGAAACAGGAAGTAACCGGAAACAATTGAATAGTTCAATCAATCCTAATTTATGACATATACTAACATACCATATCTTGTTTTTTTAACTGAAAAAATAAAAAAGTTATAGGGGTGAGCCACTTTTGAGACGCACCCGGTATTGTAATTAATAAGATTAGACAATAATTAAAACTAAAAATATTAAATTATCTATTCTAAAACTGTTTGAAACGTTTCTCGAAACATTTCGGGGGACAAGTATTTTAAGAAATGTTTTCGAAATGTTTTACGAAATATATGCAGAAATATTTTGCGAAAAATTTCGGGCTTAGTGTAGAGAGTGTTCTATGATTACAAAAATTGTCTGATTCTGAACTCGATTGGGCTTCCTGTAAAAAACGACCGGGACTAGTGTTCTGTCTATTCGCATGCGTATAAGAATAGGTGTAATAATGGTGTAATACGTGAAACACGGATTTTCCAAAATAATTAAAAGTTGGATAGCTGGATACTAAATAACTTGTAGTTTCAATCTCAGCTCTATTGATGATATACGGCAAACTATAGCTCAATTTTTTTCTAGCTGACGGTGTTTGTATGGCATTCGGCGACCCCCACTACAAATCTTTCGACGGAAAAATCTACACTTTCAAGGGCATAGGCAAATATCAGCTGACCAAGGACTGTGAGGGCGACTCCTTCTCGGTCAAGGTTGCCAACTTGCTGGCCGACAAATCGACAACGACCAAAAGGGTGGCGATAAATTTCGGCGACTCTCGCCTGAATTTGCAGCAGCGGGGCCGCGTCAAGTATAACGGCAAAAAGATCTCGTTTCCATTCAGGAAAGAGGGCAGATTCAGAGTGACCAAGGTGCGCGACGTGGTCGAGGTTGTGCTGCAGAACGACGTCAGGTTCTTGTGGAACGGGCACGGGTTCCTGGAAATTACGGTGCCACCCACTTACAAGAACAAGTTGTGTGGGTTGTGTGGGAATTTCAATGGGAACGTGCAGGATGACTTGAAGACCAAGCTGGGGCAGGTGGTGGGCGATAAGGATTTGTTGCATTTTGGAACGTCGTGGTGTATCGGTGAGTAAATCAGAATTGAAATCAACAATCATAATTATATCGGCTTTATTCAAAAACGGTTATCAATAGTTTAAATTTTATGGCTTGGATCACACTAATTAAATTACGCTTTAGTATTGAATTATCTGAGTAGGTCATAAGTAGGATCTTCAAATGACTAAAACTAAAACTTATAAGTACTTCACAAGTTGAACTTTTTTTGTGTGCGATTTTTGAATCATCTTGACTCATGTTTAGAATGCAAAATGACACAAATTTGTTTTATTGGCATTGAAAAATAAATGCCATCAAACCAAATGCATTAGAATTTCATTAAGGTTTATTGGAGAACACTTTTTTAGATTCATTTTTTCTTCTTCAAAATAAATCTCCAAATAGATATAACAACAGAAATGGAATTGTAAATAAATCAAGGCCTATATTTTACTTCAATTTTAATACCACAAAATAATACTATCAAAGTAAACTCTGTATTATGATAGAAATTTTGAAAATTTGAATAAAAATTGCATAATATCCCATGTCGATTGCATTCGAGTTACATCACATATTTTCAACAGTTTAGCAAAATAGTGAAAATAAAACGCCATATTCATGAACCATGATCTCAATCGCTGATAGACTGATGAAACCAATCAATCAAGTTAGTTTAGTAGTTGTCATATAGTTGTTTGTTGTTAACGTGTAAATATCTTGAAAACTATAATCGTCTAACTACAGCTATTTTGATTATAACTTTCATTGGTAAAAAATATTTAATATCAAATTATTCGTATAAAGTGCTTCTTCCAAATATGCTAATGAGCCACACTCGTTCCATTTGAAAAAATTGAGATATTATTAAAAATATGATTTGGGCATCTTTTAACCGGCCAGGACAAGACACTGAAACATTAGACGATCAAATCTATTTTTCCAAGGCTCCTTGATTAAAAATTCTAATTCACTCTAGACTGAAATTTAAAATACAATTTTGTTTTAAACGAAAATGTCAAAAGTTGACATATGATATGTCATTCTATTCAGAGTGTCATTTTCTATCGAATAAAGTATAAAAATAAAGTATAAGAAATTTCCGGTGAAAAACGAAGTGGCCGAAAAGAATTGAATACGTCAGTCAATCCTAATTTATATCATATACCAACATACCTAATCTCGTTTTTTTTGTCTGAAAAAATAAAAAAGTTATAGGGGGTGAGCCACAATTTTGAGACGCACCCGGTATATTGGTTTGAGATTCTTTAATATTTATTATATGCCATTGAACTTCTGAGTTTAACTGTGTTAAATAGTACATAAATTTGTGAATACTTATTGTTTGTCCTAAGTATTTAGTTAGTCTCTAATATTTTATTTTACCTTGTATAATTGTGAGTTTATTAATACTTATTGTTATTTTATTATGTTACAGGTAATAAAACGGAATGTGCGAAAAAAATCAAACCGAGTAAAGCTACCTGTTCAAAATATCGCGTGGATTTACATCCTTGCCGATATGTGACTAGCGATATATTTTCGTCTTGTTCATCGAAGTTGAGCTACAGCAAATATTATAAGGCTTGTAGAATGGACATGTGTCATTGTCCAAACGAGAAGTGCTATTGCGATAGTTTGATGGCGTACGCAAGGGAGTGCGAGAGACTGGGCGTTAAACTTTCCAATTGGCAGAAGTAAGTATACTGGATTGATATTATTATACTGATTTTGTAGATGTAGATTGTAAATTGTGTCCCCCTTTCGTGAGTTATATAGTTTTAGGGCTTTGACAAAAGCCAGTATCTCATACGCTTTTACAGAGAGTAGTTCTCCATATGCGATATCAGGCGTTGCAAAATTTATGGTTTATGGCACGAATGGTTGTCATTTCGGCGCACTCAGTGCAATGCTGTTTTCTGGTATTTCTCCATTTTTCCCACAGAATCTGCATTCGCCGTTGTTTCTTAGCTTCAATCTACTGAGAGGACAGTGTCCTATTAACACGTTAAGCGGCATGGTGGGCCCTATGGACCGCCAAAGGAAGTACCCCCTACGCCACGGAGGTCCCCAGGGACCGCTCGGTATTCGGTTATAATTATTTGTTCCACAAGCCAGCGGTCCTTGTTTAAGCCTATTTGAGTGTGATGGGCGGACATCTCTGGCTTGCGCGGCATGTATACCTATGCGAACTTTTTGATTTGAAAAAAAATAGATTTTTTTGAATTTCAAATGTTGAAAGTATATGACATAATTATAACTTGACCCAGAGAGCATTTTTTCAACATTTTGTCTGGCGCTTAACGTGTTAAAAACCTCGTGATAATTAGGAAATTCTTACTTAAAACAAAGAAAGCAAGTGAATGATTCCCATTCCAGATTACAGATGGACTCTTCCAGGTTCTTGAGTTCAGCTTTAGGTTAGTTTTCACTTGGGAAGCAGAACGTTTCTGGTTGAGTTACTGGAGTGTTGGCTCCTTTCCTTGCTCAATCGTTTGCATTATCAATTCGTTCTATCACTTAGTGGGCTGGCATCCTGAGTAGGAGGACTTATTTTCCTTGTCTAATATGTTCAGCTTCGTAAGGCATTCTTTGACCAACTTTGAGTTAATAGTTACTAAGTTGATTGCCTTTAAGGCTGCTTGACTATCGGAGAGGCTGGCTTTTTCTTGTTTCCGATAGTTCCTATCTAAGATAAATTGTACGTATCTTTCGATAGCGTAGATTTCTGCCTGAAGGATGCTGGGGTTCCAATGGGTCACATGGCCAACTATGATTTCGATTTGAAAAAAAAACATATGTCAAAAATTACAGGCTTTAGAAAAAAAAACGGAGAACACAATCTCATTAAGGATGGGATGATCTACAACTTTTATCTGAAAACTGTTTGTCTAAAATATATTTCAACGGAATTATAGAGTATTTTTAAGACAGCCGGAATTTGTTTTTTTTAATATCTAGTAAGCCATAAACATTTTTAAAATTCCAATAGGCGCATATGTTTGTCCTCGCAATTATTTCCCTATTTAACCGTCTCTTTAGCTCCAGTAGTTTCCGAGATACCCATAGAGAACATCGTAAAAAACTCATTCTGTAATATAATAGATAATGTGTGTAGTAGACTCTATAATTTGCTGATGTAATTTCCAAATGACTGTTGTAACTATAGTATTATATCAATATGGTTCTCTCTTAATTGCTATTCATTTAAATATCCTAATTGTTTTAGGGAAAGTGGTTGTGACCCTCACCATTCACGACGTATCACCAATCACCAAAGGAAAAAACACCAAAAGGTTTTCAATCCAAAATCATTTTCCAGAAGTCGGATACCAGATATTAGACAGAAATCACTACGAAGTCCTATTCCTATTAGTAAGTGAAAAGGCAAGATGTCAAAATTTAAACAATGTGACTTTTTGAAACTAAATGACCCCTTCAGATCTTTACTAGAAATTGTTCATTTAAATAAAAGATAACCTAGTAGTATTGAATTTAAACAAGCTTTAATAAAAAAAAACTAGATATATATGTATAAATTTTATGTTAAGCTTATTTTGTTCATTTTTTGTGCTATTTCTGAATCTACTTAAGGGTATGAATTTGAGATCTGATTGGTTAAAATGACTTTTTTGAGTTAAGTTTTCTTTTGATTAAGTTCTCTTTTCTTTAAATGATATAGTTTGTATAGGATCCTGTTTGATTGGTTCCTACTATTTAAATTTTGGCTACCTTATGTAGACTGCTAGTCACTTTCAGTATTTAAATTATCGCCTACATAGAATTCCGCACAGAAGTGTGTTATGTAATCTCAAGAAAAGAATGTATATATTTTTAAACAGCATATTTAAGTTAAGTAACTTTCTGATTCTTTACTTTTTAATTCCTTAACTTATTCCAATACGATGACCAGAAGATCTGAGAATTGAATCGAAAATATCCTGAAAACAGTCCACTAGATTTTATGTTTAACTTTACTATATTTTTATTGTGAATTTCATTCAAATACTCATACATTAGATATTAGGCCAGTCTAGTAAATTTTTAATTTTAAGCATCACTGAATTATAATGACCACCAATATAACAAAAACTACTATGTATTATAATTTCAAGCGTTTCACATAAAGTGGTTGCTGGTTCGTATTTGTTCTGTGTAGGAATAGATAAGCATATTGTACATATACTTATAAAATGTTGACTTTTCAAGAGTATTCAAATATTGAATTTTCCATAATGTTCGAGAATTAAAAAAATATAGACGTTATAACTGATATACTATGAAAATTTAATATTAAATTATTTGTATATACGAGTTGTACTGTTATTAGAATCTTGGAATAAGGAAATTTGATTATTTTTTAAATATTTCAAAAAATATAAATGAAAAAACTAAAGTAAATTTATTATGAGATAAGGCGGATTTTCTTCTATATTTATGTAAATTGTGTCAAATTTTCTATAAATAATTAGTAATATATTGATATTTATTTATTTAATATTTAAATTACGCGTATTGTGCCTTTCCGTTTCTATTTTTAATTTAAATTTTATGGCAATGCTAAAAAATAGCTAGCCATAAATATGTATATGCAAATATAAAATATACCTTGTTAGTCCAGTCTTATATTTTATTAAAAAACTAGAAACAGTTGGTTTTCACGTGTAATAGACATTCATTGGTTAAAGTAGGTAATTTATAAATCGGTAATATTATCGATAATATTACGGTAACATTGTTAATTTATAACAAAACAGCTTCTTAAAAATAAATTCTCTTCTATAAAAAAACAAATCTTTCAAAATTGTAAAAATATTAGAAAAAAAAAGACAAGAACGTTTTTTAAGTTAGTTAGAGTCAGAGTGGCCTATGTTATACTGCATAATAGAGTGAATAATGCTAAATTATTATCCTCAATCTTGTCATATGGTTCTTCTTTCTCTTTTGTTAACTAAGTCAAGTCTATTACTTCGAAATCGATATCTTCTTCCATTTCTTTCTCAGCAGCCTCTACCGTTCTTGGATATTCTTTTGATTTCTTCTTCTTTACGTGTCGTCTCTTTCGTGGAGGTTGGCGATCACATTGGCAAAATCTTCACGATTCTCGGCTTTCCTTGGGAATTCTTCAAAAGTTAGGTGAGTCCAATTTCTGATGCTCCTCAACCAAGATAGTTTCTTCCTACCGAGACCTCTTTTTCCTTCAGTTTTACCCTTAACTATTAATTGTAAGACGTGATATTTTTTATTTCTCAATATATGCCCTAAGTAGGATGTTTTTCTTATTTTTATTATATTAAGCAATTCTCTTTCTCTGCCTATTCTGTTATAAACTTCGGTATTGGTGATATGGGTTGTTCTTGGAATTTGAAGCATTCTTTGATATATCCATGTTTCGAACGATCCGAGGCCATTAATCTCTTGAACTTTCAGTGCCCATGTTTCTGCTCCGTATAATAGGATTGTCCAAACATAACACCTGACGAGCCTAGTTCTCAATTCAAGGTCCAATCTGGGGTTCTGGAAAACGTTCTTTATTCTTAAAAATGCATTCTATTCTGGTTTTTATTTCCACGTCATTGTTCAAGGTGTTAACTATCCAGGACCCCTAATATCTGAACTTGTAGACCTGTTCTAAGGTATCGCCCTCTATTTTTATAGGGATTGGTACATTTTGGTTCATTCCAAATACCATGACTTTGGTTTTAGATGAATTGATCTCATCCCGTATTTCTTACAGGAGCCTTCAAGTCGTTTCACTAAACTCTGGAGCCTAGTATCAGAGTCGGCAATAACAACTGTGTCATCGGCAAATCTAATTTTGTTAATGACTTCGCCGTTGCCTTTAATATCGCAATCTGTTGAAGAGAAAGCTTAGACAGCGAAGGAGAGAGCACACATCCCTGTCTTACTCCTCTCTGTATATTGACTGGATTGGAATTGTCATTTTCAACTTTCATGTGGGCTGTTTGTTTCTGTTGTTCTTTTGATTTAGTAAATTATAATTATGGGCAATATAAGTAAGTCTTCCGGTCCTTTCCACGGTAAGTTTGTTTCTTCTTGGCCGATGGACAAATCCATAAGTCCTAAAGGTTCTTTCGGTTGCGGCCTGTTGATGGTAAATTTAAATTCTCTATAGCCAATATACTTACTATAGAGCTGGATCAAATTCCTGCCAGTCAGGCAGGTCCAGACATAAACTTTTCTCTGGAAAGGACGGATTCTAAAATATTACCTCTAATTTTGTATTGTGCCAGTCGGTGTATCAATAACGAGATCTATTTGTGAAAAATACTTTCGATGATGCCTTGCAGTTTCATAGACGAACTCCGTTGCAATTAAATTTTCAGCTTCAGTTAAATTTTTGCAGTGTAGATTTGGTTATAATAGGTAGGCAGAAAGATGAGCAAGTCCTAAACATTTACTTGCCCGTTTTCCAGAATTGCACACATTTTCTTATTTTCCGACCTAGCGGATGAATCTGATGCTTTGCTACATAATATATAGACCTTATTTCAAAAAATCAGGTAAACACTTTTGAGACTGTTGACCCTTTAGCTTCAAAAACTGTTATCCACTTAGAGATTGGCTCAAACAGGTCATAAGTTACTTGTTTTTTAACCAAAATTCGTTTCGAAGCAGATGATTTGCAGTGTTTGGCGAAGGAACATCAGAAATATCTGGGTTCATCAACTTCTAAGCTTTTTAATGAGTATTTAGTGTCCAAAAGGGGCTTTTTAGACAAGAAACAAAGCAGTCTCATTTTGTTTTCACAAAAAAAGGAAAAGAGTAGAGCGGGAAAAAGCAATATTTCCAATGTTACCGATCTTGTGGTAATATTGCGTAATATTATCAAGATTACCGGTAATATTACCGCGGCAATATTACCCTTTACATCGCTAGGTTAAAGTGTTGTAGTAAAACTGTAGTAAAAAATTTTTTTTTAAGAAAAATATATTTATGTTAATTACAGAATATTTAGACTGGACTATTGCGTATTGTGTTATTATAGCCATTTAATTAGTGAGTTTAATTTAGTACTTATTGAAAATGTAAAAATTATTGTAAAAGTTTTTTGATTACCAAAGACATTTTACTGTGCATTTGTTTTAAAATATTCTTTTCGTAAATGATTCCGTTGCGAAAATATTGATTTGTATATACGTTTTAGTATGAATTTATTAGCCATGTAAGTTTAATGAATTATAATTTTTATATTGAAGGATCTCTACTGTAAGTGTAACATAAACATGTTTACGATTTTAATGACGTAGTTGTGGTTACTTATGTTACATGTTGTACATACTTATAAGTTCTATTTAACGTAGTTTATTTTTTTACTGGTTCCTATATCCTATATGTATTATTTTCCAAGACTTAAAATTACAGTTTTGTACTTTTTACGAATATAGTTAAGTTTGTCAAATATTTGCAATCACCGTTATTTATAGTAATTTTTGTTAAAATGTACTATGTAGTTAGTTATATTTTTGATTTTTTTACAACACATATTTGAACATTTAATATTTAAAAAATGCCCTTTTTTATTGATTAGAATAAATTCACACTTTTAATATTACATTATATTTTTTAAAATAATAAAATATGTGAAATAACGTTGATGCAACAAATGAAATTAACGAATCTCTACTTAAAAACTTTTTTCATAATAGGTTTACATAATGAAACATCGAACTTGTTTTAATATTATTAAATATTTAATATATTCACATGTTAATGGCAACTGTATAATTTTCCTATAGTAATGCACCGCTGTATATTAATAAATTATTCATATTCTTGCATTTTCTATGTTTTATTGCAATGATAAACATTATGTTCTCTACTAAAATATATATACATAAATAAAATATATAATATTGATAGTTGTTTTATTTCTTTTATTCTATATGTTTTCATTTTTTTTTCTAAGCATAAAGAAATTTTTCTTATTTGTCGTTGCTATGGCGCTCCCTAGCGGTCGTAATATAAACTATAAAATACTTTCCAGAAATTTTTCATCGCCTCTTTAGTTACGAATATTTTTTCCGCGGTTCTGTAGCTAATACTTCCCGAGATACAGCCGAAAGATATTCTTAGTAGAACTTACCGCATTCACAAGGTACCTGCAATAAAAACGCAAACATTATAAGATTAAAACAGTTTTAATCTTATACTGTTTGGCTATTCGCCTAATCTTTCATATATTAAGAGTATATGAATATAGACTATAGAAGATATACTAGGAGGTATGAGATTCAATTAGATCATACCTTAGATAACGGCCAGTGAGACTGATGACCCAAACGTCTAAAATTTCAAAATTAAATAAAATGTCAGTCCAAGATGGTATTTTATCTTGTCTCTAAAAAAGTTCTATGGGTATTTCGCCACTTTAAGAAAATATACACATGCCCTTTAACCCTATTATGCCCTTTTTAAGTCGCATCTTCGTTATGCCTTTCCATTTTGGGGTACTTGCTGCGCGACAAAATTTGATCGTATTTTCAAACTTCAAAAGAGAGTTCGATATTTATTCGGACTGAACAGTAGAACTCACTGCCAGAATTTCTTCAAATACTGACTCTTCCTATATTTGCTATTTCGGAAAGGTCGTCTCACAACTATCCACTTGCGAAGGAATGCGGAGCACGATCTTTGTCTGCCAACCCCGAGCTCAGAACTAGTTAAAGACTCAATACTGTACAATGCCAAAAAATGTACAATCATCTGCCTTTGAATATCAAGTCACTTTCATTCTTTCCCGCATTTCACAAAGCTCTGAAATCATACTTACTGGAGAGAGCCCTGTATGCGGTAAACGACTTTTTTGTTGATGTTTAATCATGAACAATTTTTGAATTTTAAATTTTGATCATTTCACACACTGGTTAAAGGTCTAGTATTTAATATTTTATAACTCTTACATGATTTTATCTATTTACAATTTTCCTTTTGTAAATTTTTATTGATACGCCTGTGTACTGCAATGTCCATGTATGTTTTATTTGTAATTTTAATGACGTAATTTTTTTTTTAATTGATTTGTATTGTATGATATTTTTTTATTATTTGTATATATTTTTTCTGTGCTTTTGTTTGTTGTGTAAATGCTTTGTCGATGAAGCTATTTTGGCTTTTTGTACAATAAAGCGTTGTTTATTTATTTATAATTATTCATGCTACGTTAATCCCACGGAGACTAATTGTCAGCAGTGGCCTACTAATAAACAAATTTGCCTAACGAACAAAAAAATGCTTAACGTTTCGGCAAGTATAGCAAAAAATACAAAAAACAAACAAAAAAAAATATATAAAATATCCAAATGCAAATATTCGATAACACTTTAGTTTTTTTTAAAAACAGATACGTCTACAAAAACCGCTGTCGTTCTGTTAAAATGACCAAAATTACTTTTTTGGAGAGATGAATCCGCCACAGAGGTATAGATATTTGTTATCGACGCCTATGATCCTTATGATAGGCAGTCAT